GCTCTGGATTCAGTGTCTCTCTTTAGATTGATTGGGATGCCTCAGAAGCTCTCACTTGAGACAAGGCCAGTATGTTGCACCTGTTAATGAGCGAAGTCATTCCCAGTAGTAAATTACGCCACCCTCAGAAGTGCAGATATAAGTTTCCAAGATCCAAGCCAAAGCTGTATATACTACAGCTAATGGTAGGTCTTTGCGCTATGGCATTATGGGTAAATTATCTTTCCAAAAGAGAAAATGTAGGAAAATCCTAGTCAGTTTCAAATGTTATTGATCAATTGATTGATTTACCTTCTGCCTTTATTATTTGTATAAATAACTCAAGGCGGTGAACATACCTAATATTCTTTTCCCCTCCTACTTAACCCATAACAGCAACCCTGTGAGGTGGGTTGGGCTGAGAGGAAATGACTGGCCCAAGATCCTCAATCAGCTTTCATGCCTAAAGCAGGACTAGTACTCACAATTTCCTGGTTTCTAGCCTGATAAAGGCTAGACATAATGAAAAAACAACAACAACCAGAACAGGAATTGCAAATCAAGCCTAGAAAATATGTTTAGTAATGAGTGTAAGACAAAAACTGCATTGAGATAAAGACTTTGTCACATTTTGACACAGATTTGGGTGTAATCAAGTTAAAGTTCTAACTTTTGTATTGAATGGGGGGGATCAGTACATTAGCTGGGAAGAAAAAATATGTAATTTATTTTAAAATTTACAATTTATTCTAAATATGCATAGAGACAATACATTTCTACTTGCAAGTGGGAAGAACTGACAGTATTAACATTTTCTTGTTTGTCAGATTCTTTTGGGAAATCTAGTTAAGTGTTACCTAAAATAGGAATTGCATTGAGATACATCTGACCAAAAAAGTGATGACAACTATTATATATTTTTTTTAAAAGCTATCATTCCCCTATGTGTGTAACATATACTGTCCATAAAATACCATACATGAGACAAAAAGAAAAATATAAGTGCATTGGAATGTTTTTCAACTTCTAGCTGCCTATGAAATAGGAAAAGAAAACGAGGTTAAGGATTTTTACCAGATATACTGCTCAAAAAAATAAAGGGAACATTTTAACATGGAACTGAAGGGAGTTTGCGTTCCCTTTATTTTTTTGAGCAGTATACATAAAATGTGATAAGATGTGATTCCAGAATGTTGCCTCCCTGATTTATTATGTCACTTGCATTCAATACGGTAGCAACTTTGTTGTGCAGTGGAAATATACGGTAGTTTGGTGTGGGATACCAGAGCAAAGGTTTTATTTTTGGAACAGCAAAATCCTGAGTTGCTGAACAGCATTTTTCTGCAACCAAGTTACTTTCAAGAAAAATAGCTTCACTATATGTTTTGCTGAATAAGAGCTGCTTTGATATGTTTTGCCGGACAGCAAGTCAAGAAATGGTTTTCAACTTTATTGTGTCTTTTGCAATGTATATGCTGTTTCTATCATTTAAAAGCTTTCTCTCTGGCCATTCCCTTCTCCAATTCATGCATTTTATTACAATTCCCACAGGTACCTGTTCCCAAAGAGTTGGAATAAACCATCCCGTTCTGCTGAAGGAAACAACTAGAAAAATGACCAGACTATCCAAGCGTTGCTTCAGAGGGTTTCAGGAATTGATTCCTTCAGTTGGGTGTCATGAAAGCATGGGAACAATGTTTAAAGCATGCGGTCTGTTGAAGTGATGATTGCTGACTTACGATTTCAAGCAACCAGATGTATTTTTATTTTTGGGAGAGGCAGAAGTGGAAAGGGCTAGTTCACCTGTCTCTTTTAATCACTGTGCCATCACGGTCATCAGGTCTTCAGTAAAACGTACTGTCTCCCTATGACCTTTCTAACATTTTACAGAAGCACATTGGGCATCCTATTGTGGTATTATTGTTTCATTCTTCCATTCACCTGAAGTTGTGTGGCATACCTGCCAGTTTTAAAACCATATCCTTTTGTTAATCACAACTAATTTTATTTTTATTAGATGAAGGATGTTACAAGAGAAATAAACAGCAACTTTCAGATGAATATACCTGTCCTTAACTTGAGGTAACTGCTGTGGAGATTGTATAAATACTGCCTGCTATATATTTATAGTAGGAGCTTCTCTTCTTAAAATGAATGTTCTTTTTTAAGCTTTCTGGATATCACATCTTTAGGTCAACAGTAGTAACTATGATAACAACTTGGCTCAACAGTAGTAAATGCAAAAGGGATCTATGCATTCTAATGGACACCACTTAAGTCTGAACTATTAGTGTGCTCCAACTGCCAATAAAGTCCCAGATTGTATCAACAAAGGGACATCAAGATCACAAGAAGTGACAGAATCAGTCAATATTGCACTAGTGAGGCCACACTTGGAATATTGCATTCAGTTATGGTCACCATGATACAAAAAAAGATGCTGAGAAAAGTGCAGAGAAGAGCAAGATGATAAGAAGTCTGAAAGCTGGGAATAAGATGTCTAACCCAGGGGTAGGCAACCTTGGCACTTTTATGACTCGTGGACTTCAACTCCCAGAATTCCTGAGCCAGCATGGCTCAGCTTGGAAACCTCTCCCTTTCCCCTCAGCATGGCTGGCTCAGAAATTCTGGGAGTTGAAGTCCACGAGTCATAAAAGAGCCAAGGTTGCCTACCCCTGGTCTAACCTAACAAAGAGAAAGATTAGGGGTGATATAATAGCTATCTTCCAGTACTTGGGGAGGTCACAGAGATGAGGGGAGGTCAACCTATTCTCCAAAGCACCTGTGGGCAGGACAAGAAGCAATGAGTGGAAACTTGTTAAAGAGATACCCAATCTGGATATCTAAGGAAAAATTTCCTGAAGTGAGAACAATTAACCAATGGAACAGCTTGCATCCCAGAGTTGTGAGTGCTCCATCCTTGAACATTTTCAAGAAAAGACTGTACAGCCATTTGTCTGGGATAGAATAAAGTCTTCTGCCTTGGGCAGGCAGCTGGACTAGAAGACCTCCAAGGTAGCTTTCAGTTTTTTGTGGGTGATAGAACTGGGCAGTCTTGACTGGGAATTTTCCAACACTCAGGGATATTTTTGTCAAGAAACATTCCTTCACCATATTGGCTCCTGGATTTGATTCCCAGTCTTACCTCAGTTCCATTTCAGGCACCACACTACATCAGTAGTGTAAGGAGCTAGTTTTTGTTTGTGACCTTGTCCGCAAGTTAGAGGCAAACAAGCATATAAGGTAGAGTTGCAGTAAGAGTTACGAATAGGAGGTAGAGCAAAAAATATGGATAACCACTAAATTACAGGTAGTCCTTGAGTTACAACCACAAATGAGCCCAAAATTTCTGTTGCTAAGCGAGACACTACTTTAGTGAATTTTGTCCCATTTTATGACCTTTCTTGCCAATTATTAAGTGAAGCAGTGCAGTTGTTAAGTTAGTAACTTGGCTGTTTGGTGAATCTGGCTTCCCCACTGACTTTGCTTGCAAGGTCACAAAAGGGGATCACCTGACCCAGGGACAGTGCAACCGTCATAAATACGAGTCAGTTACCAAGTGCCCAAATTTTGATCACATGGCCACCGGGATCCTCAGTGGTCATAAGTGTGAAAAATGTTCATAAGTCGGTGCCGTTGTAACTTTGAACAGTCATTAAATGAACTGTGGCAAGTCAAGGACTATCTGTAGTTTCCCATATCTTTGTTACCATCTAGTCATCAGCCTAGAACTGACAGCCTTAGGCACTAAACCAACATCAGCAAGTTTCTAAGCATGATATATATTTTTTATAAATCTAGACAAATGGAGTTTAGTTTTCATGTTTCTTGATTGATTAATTAGGTGGTTACATGTCATCCAGTTGTTGTCAACTCTTAGTGACCGCATAGTTTTCTCCATGGCAGTTTGCCCCACTAGATCCTTCAGCTTTTTCAACAATGCATTCATCGCTACTGTAAAAGCG